GGAGACAACAGCTCCCCGGTCCTCCTCCACCACTGCTCCAGCCGCTGACGACATCCCGGTCCTTAGGGCGCCAAACTGCTCTCCAGCAGGGCGCTTTCTCGCTGCCCAGCCCCCCTCCAGCTGACGTCAGCACGGGCTCGCACCGTAGGCGGGCGGCGGCGCCTCCTCGCCCCACTGCTCTGCGCCTGGGATGGAGCAGCTGCAGTGGCGGAGGAGGGCCGGGGAGCTGTGCTTTCTCTCCGGGCGCTGTCTCGCCACTCAGCCCCCCCTGCTCCGGCCGACGTCAGCGCGGGCTCGTATCGTCGGCGGGCACCGGCACTTCCTTGCCCCACCGCCCCGTAACATCCTGGGGCATGGGGCAGTGGGGCGAGGAGGCAGCACTGCCCGTCGATGGTGCGAGCCCGGGCCGACATCGGCCGGAGCCAGGGGAGCGCTGAGCGGCAAGACAGCGCCCTGAGAGAAAGTGCAGCTCCCCGGCCCTCCTCCGCCTCCTCCGCCACTGCAGCTGCTCCATCCCGGGCGCGGGGTGTTGGGGCGAGGAGGAGGCGCTGTCCACCGACAGTGCGAGCCCGCGCAAACGTTGTCCGGAGTGGGGAGGGGGGCTGAGCGGTGAGACAGCGCCCTGCTGGAGAGCAGTTTGGCGCCCTAAGGGCCGGCTCGCGCTCTAGGCGAATGCCTAGTTCGCCTAGCAGGTGAGCCGGCCCTGCTGACACTATCCACTTGGACAGTGTCTGTGAAGAGGCAGCCCTTCCCTTCGTGCGGCCTCTGAAACAGACAAATAAAACTTTGTCTTTCCTAAAGAGCGGTGTTTGTTTCAAATAAAAGAGAAGGGCTCACCTCTGGTCTAATATGTGCATTCTCTTTTCCAATGAGGGAGTTGGGGGTGGGAGAGTGATGTCCTGCCCCAAGTGGAAGCTTGAAACTACCTTTGGTAGAAACTCCATGTGTAGTCTCAACACTACCTTGTCCACATGGGACTTTAGGACGGGTGGTTCACATAGGGTTGCCAGTCTCCAGGTGGGGCCTGGGGATCCCCCACTTTTATAACTGATCTCCAGCTGACAGAGATCAGCTCCCCTGGAGAAAATGGCTGCTTTGAAGGATGGTCTCTATGGCATTGCACCATGTTGAGGCCCCTCCCCTCCCCAAACCCCTGCCCTCTCCCAGATCCACCCCCAAAGTCTCCAGGTATTTTCCAAATCAGACCTGGCAACCCTAGGTTCACAGCAAGGGGGGCTTAGTTCTCCCACCCTCCTAAACTGACGTCAAAGCGACCAGAAATGCTTATACGAAAGAAAAGACATGTCACACATAGCCATGGCTCAAAAGGTTTATACATGAGTCTAGATAACACGAAGGATAAACGTCACTGGGGGGATGGAGTACAAATAGGATGGGTATAAATTTGGCAATCCTTTAAGGCAGAGGTGTCGAATTCGTTTGTTACGAGGGCCGTATCCGACATAAATGTCACTTTGTCAGTCTGGGCCACGTGTGCCATAAAACGTAATGCCAGGTACTGGAGATATAAACTGTATAAAGGACATCCGCTTGTATGCTCAGAGTTAGTGTATCCTCACTCCAAGGCCCCATGGACTGGAAGAATGTGCAGAGGAAAACCCACATGGACAGACTGGAGAGCCAGCGGTACAGCACTGGGCAGATGTTCCCGTGCTGCTTGGCTGCGGCAGATGAGTTTGTTCCTCCGTGCTGAACCCCTCCCCTCCCTGAGCAGCAGAGGTCATTTCGGGGGGGATCGCAGTTCCCCCGGGTGAGGTACGGGGGGCGGGGCACATGATGAAGCCCCGCCCCCTGCTTCTGTCCGCCCCGCTTCCAGCCCTCATTCAGCCAGGAGGAGGCAGGAGAAGAGGGAGGGTAAGTTGCTTCCTCCCTGCCTCTCCCCACCCCTGCCTGCCTGGGGCCAGGGAGGGCCTTGGCGGGGCTTCCTCGCAGTCCCGCCGGCCTTGCAGGTCCACCACCGGGCCCCTGATATCAGGGGGTGTGGCATATGCTAATGAGTTCCCCTAGCTCTTTTTCTACGAAACCCCTCCCTGAGCAGTCCTCTGTTCCCTCCCCTGCACCAGTTGCTTGCAAGCCTCATAACAGTTCTGGCCCCTGGGCCTTATGTTTGACTCCCCTGTTTTAAGGAATCATTTAGTCTCTACAGTAGAAAAACAGTAGAACCATTAATTAACTCATGAGATGCTGAAATTGCAGCCGAATGCCCCTTGACGGAAGAGATCGAAAACCCCTCTCCTTTAGGGAGAGGAGGTGTTCAGATATTTGAAATATGTTACAGGTTTCCAGTTGAGAGGCTATGTCGACCAGCCCATATCAAAACCCGTTTCCATTTTTACTCATGATAATTCCTCATGGAAGGTTTACGAGCCGCTGTTAGAACTTCTGTCATTCTGTCTCTTAAGGAGGACTGGGGCTGATCCACCAAGTCTCGGGTGAAGTGAGTTGAGCCATGGATGCCAGCGGGGCCTAGCCGTAGAAGGTCGTCTTTCATGGGGGAAATATTGAAATGATTCCGTGACGGCTTCCACAGCAGTAGGAACCAGGTTTGTCTTGGCCATTGTGGAGCTATGGGAATGCAGGTTGTTCTGTCGGTGTTCAGCTTGGCAGTCACCTTACGGAGGGGGAAATGCACAGAACAGGCATCCATGCCGTGAACTTTGGAAGGCATCCCCCCGTGAAGCGTGACCCAGTGCTGCTCAGGAACAGAACAGCAGGCATTTCTTGTTGAATGAGGCCGCAAATAGGTCTACCCATGGAAAGCCCCATTCATGAAAGATTGGATGAAGGTAACGGTCCATGATTCCTGGGAAGCTCCTATGTCTCTGCTTAGTGTGTCTGCTACAATATTGGATCACTCTGCTATATATATATGGCTGTGAGGTATACTTTGTGATGAATTGCCCAGCGCCAATGCACTTTTCAGCCAAATTTTACTACACTACACTTGATCTTAGCCAAAAGGCCAAGAAGCGACAGAGCTTTTATGTTAGCTCGTTTTAATGTTCTTCCTTCGGCCGTATTGTATGGGAGGTTTAAGAAGATTCCCTATTCTAATAGGTTTTGTGTCTGTCGTTCGAAGGACATAGAAAGTATTGAACATGTTTTCCTGTGCTGTGTACTTGATTGTGATATCTGTGCAACTTATTTAGACCCTCTTCTTCACAAGCATGATGGCCAATCTGATCATGGTACGATATCTCATCTATTATCCACTCCTGACTCTGAGATTATTGAGACTGTGGCTAAATTTATTTGTCGTGTTGTTAAGAGGAGAGGGATGTTTTAAAAGCTGGGGTAATGTTCCCTTCCTTATTGACTGTGCATGTGTATGATGTTATGCCAATAAAGGTTATTGTTGTTGTTGTTAACCAAATTTTACTGTGTTAAATGGCGAAAACCACTTGGAAATGATCACTATTGAAAGTGGATCGTTCGGTGTGCGTGAAAGCACCCTGGCGGAGGGGAAAAGCCATTCTGTATATCCTTCCGACTGAAAAGCCAGAGATAAAACACTCAGCAGCAGCATTTCTTATTAAATTTAATCTTACACGTTAGAGAATCCCACACGGGAGAGCTAAAGGATGCCATGAGGATGAGAGAGCGGTCGTTTCCATCAAGGAGGTAGGAGAGTTAAGGGCAGAGGTCATTTCGGGGGGGATCGCAGTTCCCCCGGGTGAGGTTCAGGGGGCGGGGCACATGACGAAGCCCCGCCCCCTGCTTCCGGCCACCCCGCTTCCAGCCCTCATTCAGCCAGGAGGAGGCAGGAGAAGAGGGAGGGTAAGTTGCTTCCTCCCTGCCTCTCCCCACCCCTGTCTGCCTGGTGCCAGGGAGGGCCTTGGCGGGGCTTCCTCGCAGTCCCGCCGGCCTTGCAGGTCCACCGCCAGGCCCCTGATGTCAGGGGGTGTGGCATATGCTAATGAGTTATGCTAATGAGTTCCCCTAGTTCTTTTTCTACGAAATGACCCCTGGTTAAGGGTGGTAGTGCTGATGGTAGAACCAGACTTCTCACACTGCCCGAGCTACAGCAGGGACGTACGTTTCAAGCTCACGCATGCACAGTCGTGCTTTTGGGGGGCGGGCACTGGTTAAGCACCCCGCCTTTTGGCCCACACAACTCTGCTGCGACTAATACTTGGGCAGAAGTGGCTGGAAAGAAAGACATTTCTTCCCCAGCAGTAAAGGGAGACAAACTATAGTTGGGATGACGGGGCCGGTTCATTCTCAGACTCGCAGACGTGTTTCATCCCTCCTTCCCTTACACGTGGAGCTGAGGTCCCTAGTTAATGAAGTGTTCAATCTAAACAACAGTTCCGCAGGACGTCCAAATCCAACAAATCGGGGGTTCTCTCTCACCCATATAGGGCTGTAACCTGCGGCTTAGAATCCGGGGATTTCAGACTATAAAACCACGTATGTCGAAGCGCCCAGATTTCAGACACCAGAACTTAGGAAGTCCCTCGTTTAGCAGAGTCTCCAACTGTGGCTCTCCACACAAAAAGAGGATCGAGGTGGGAGGAAATGTGGGAGCCTGCAAACAAAACCGGCTTGTTCTCTGTGCAAAGGATCCAGAGTTGGTCTGTGATGTCTGAATATGACCTCAGTGGTGGAGAATGGGAAGGTATTTGGGGAAAGTAAGTCATCATGTGATTGTGGCAGATGTGCGGAAGAGAATGTGGGAGGAAAACCATGCAGTGGCATGAACGGTCTGTGCACGTGCATATGCGCATTCATTCATAACTGTCCCCTTCTCCCTTTGGCCCTGACCTCTCCACCCAGCACTATTTATTTATTTACTTGATTGATACCCCGCCTTTCTCATCACTGGGGACCCCAATTGGCTGACGTCATTCTTCTCTCCTCCGTTTTACCTTCACAACAACCCTGCGAGGTAGGCTAGGCTGAGAAGCTGTGACTGGCCCAAGGTCACCCAGCGAGCTTCCACAGCAAGAGGTGGGATTCGAACCTGGGTCCCCCAGATTCTAGTCAGACACTGTAACCACAATCCCATGCTGGCTCTGGTACGTGTGGAGTTCCTCTTGTTCCCATTCCCTCCCTCCCGTGTGGACCTTCTGATGGGCCAGCCACTTGTTCCTCCACCGGAAGCCTTTCCCGCACTGCATGCACTTGTACGGCTTTTCCCCCGTGTGAGATCTCTGATGGGAAAGCAAGCCGTCGCTCCGGCAGAAAGTCTTCCCGCAGTCGAGGCACTCATAAGGTCTCTCTCCGGTGTGGATCCGCTGGTGCCTGACCAGCTTCGCCTTGAGGCGGAAACTCTTCCCGCACTCGGAACATTCAAATACTTTCAGGTCTGTGCTTTGTAGCGATTTCGGCCGGGGGGGCTGCAGAAACGGCCTGGCACGCTCTGAGCCGCCGGGATGGTTCTCTTCCAGGCGGCGCCTTGAAGTTTCAAACGGTCCGGATTTGTACGCGTGAATTCTTCTGTCCGTTCCCATGCGTGGGTCCGTCATGGCTGCTCCCACGTTCCTCGGATACGGTGACGGCTCCGCGGACTTGGCTGGGGTCTCCTCTGGCTCCGCCCCTCGCCGCCCCTCAGCGTCATAGATTTGCTGACAAACCGCAGCCCAATATGTCCCCCCTCGTTGCATCCTGGGAAGCTGACGGCGGATTCTCACCAGCTCAGTCTTTTCCTGCTCAGGATCCATGCCGACTGCCTTTGGCTCCGCAACACCTGCAGCAGAGGAGAAAGAATCTGTTCCAGGTCCCTCAAGGACAGGTGGCAAGACACCTGGATAGCCCAGAGTAGCCCAAGCTAGCCAGAGCTTGGAAGCTAAGCATGGTCGGCCAGGGTGAGTACTTGGATGGGAAACCAGGGAGGGACATGGAGGGGCGGCGGCTCACTGGCAGAGCCTCTGCTCGGCATGGAGGAGATCCCAGGTTCAATCCCTGGCTTCTCCAGTTAAAAGCATCAAGTGGGAGGGGATGTGACAGACCTCAGCCTGAGACCTTGGACAGCCACTGCTGCTCTGAGCAGACTGCGATGGACCAAGGGTCTGATTCAGTGCATGGCTGCTTCGTCTGCTCATCGGTTCATAACCACCAAGGAAGACCAGGGTTGTTATGCAGAGGAAGGCAACGGCCAACCACCTTTGCTCATCTCTTGCCCTGACCCAGATGGCCCAGGATACCCTGATCGCGTCAGTTTTCAGAAGCTAAGCAGGGCTGGCCCTGGCTTGTACTTGGGTGGGAGTCCACCAAGGAGATCCGGGGTTGCTACGCAGAGGGAAACAATGGCAGAGCCACCTCTGGACACCTCTTTCCTTGAAAGGCCTACAGTAGACTCGGAGCGCCAAAATGTATATAGTTTAGCCAATAAAACCTGCTCCCCCTTGAATTTCGAGATTCCCCTTACAACAGGGATGATGGCTGCATATTTATCCTCTCTGCAGGTCCCTCAACAATGTAGAGCGTTCACCCTGGCCAGATGCAACGCCATGCCGTCCGCCATCTTATTTGGCAGATTCAGTAAGGTTTCCCAGCTGGACAGATACTGCCCATGCAGAAAGAAATGTGTGGAATCTATCGCTCATGTTCTCCTGCATTGGAACCTGTACATGGACATAAGGATCACATATTTACAATCTCTGTTCTGATGCTCTTAAGGTAAATAGACTTTTAAGAGCTCTCTGCCCGGATATCACAGAGAAGGTGGCTAAGTTTCTCTGTTTGGCTTTAAAGCTGTGCCAAAGGTTCTTTTAGAATTCTTATAGATGTGCTTTTAACTGGTTCTAAAATGTATAAATGGTTCTGATAATTTATGCCAATAAAGGCTCACTTGACTTGACTTGAGAGGCCTAGGGGGTCTCCATGAGCCGGAGGCGACTTGACAGCTCTTTCCACCACCGAATACTGGTCGTTGGCCCCAGGCCAGGGGCGGCTTTCCCCACTTCCTCAACGTTTCATGGTGCTTCTGTGCACTTTCCAGGCTTCTCCCCATTTTCCCCAAACCTGCTTTGGGGCAATGGTTTGGGAAAGAGGGCAACAAAGCCAGACTGGCAGCCATGTGGATGGGAAAGCAGGGATGTTTCCCACTTCCGCTGACATTTCTAGTCCCCACACCTCAGAAAGGATATTATAGCATTGGGAAAAGTGCAGAAAAGGGCAACTAGAATGATAAAAGGGTTGGGACATTTTCCCTATGAAGAAACTTGGGGCTCTTTAGCTTGGAGAAACGACGGCTGAGGGGTGACATGATCGAGGTTTATAAGATTATGCATGGGAAAGAGCAGGTAGAGAAAGAGGTACTTTTCTCCCTTTCTCACAATACAAGAACTCGTGGGCACTCCATGAAATTGCTGAGCGGTCGGGTTAGAACGGATAAAAGGAAGTACTTCTTCACCCAAAGAGTGATTCACACATGGAATTCACTGCCACAGGAGGTGGTGGCAGCTACAAGCATGGACGGCTTCAAAAGGGAATTAGATAAGCATATGGAGCAGAGGTCCATCAGTGGCTATTAGCCACCAGGTATAGATAGGGGCTCTGGGGCAAGTGATGCTCTGTCTTCTTGGTGCTTGGGGGGGGTCAACAGTGGGAGGGCTTCTAATGTCCTGGCCCCACTGCTGGACCTCCTGATGGTACCTGGTATTTCTGGCCACTGTGTGACACAGAGTGTTGGACTGGATGGGCCTTTGGCCTGATCCAACATTGGCGTCTCTTATGTTCTTATGACATCAGTGCCATTTTTTCCTGCCCCAGTTTCCCACACAGGCCGTTTCCCTCCTACCTACAGAGGGCTTCTTGGTTTTTTAAACTGTCAATCAAATATCATCAAAGTGTTATAATGTCATACTTATTTTATTGACTTTATTTCTACCCCACCGTTCTCCCTCATGGAGACCCAGAGTGGCTTAGTATCGTTCTCCTCTCCTGCGTTTTATCTTCACAACAACCTTGGGAGGTAGGTTAGGCAGAGAAGGTGTGACTGCCCCAAGGTCACCCAGTGGACTTCCATGGCAGGGTGGGGATTTGAACCTCTAGTCTCTCCAATCTTAGTCCGACACTCTAACCACTTAGCCACACTGCTCTCGATTCTCGGAGTCTCCCAGTTTTCATTTTCTGAAAAGTCTCTCTCCCCTTTCGTTGCAGGGATAGGCTTTAGGCTTCTAGAGACTGTTATTTGGCTTGGAGTTCCATCAGGAATAAATACAGTTATCTGCTATGAATCTTTGGAGGAGGAGGAGAAAAAGAAGAAGAAGAAGCCGATCTTGGCCGAGTTAGTCCTAGCCGCATACAGGAGAACAGAAATTGTAGGGAGTGGAACCCTGAGGAAGCCGGTATAATAGGATGTGATCACCCCAGGTGTCCAGTCATGATTCCCAGACAACCAAATCCCCCCCCCCGCCCGGTGCAAGGTTACCTGGGAAAGCCATGCTGTCATCGTAACTCAGGACACTGTCCGATTTCTCTTGTTCCAGCAGGGAGACGCTCTGAGGTTTGGGTATCAAGAGGCCTCCTTTGGATAACCGATCAGATTGATTAAAAAGAAAAAGGAAACTTGGTTTATTGAAGGGTGGGGGTGGGGGAGTTACTTGTAATATTACCGCTAGCCATGTTGTCTAAAGGGAACCTCCACATTCAGAGGCAGTAAAAATCAGGGGAAGGCCTCAGCCTCTCTGTACCCTGTCATGGGCCCTCCAGAGGAACTGGCTGGCCACTGCGTGAGATGAGATGCTGGACTAGACGGACCCCTGGTCGGATCCAGCAGGGCTCTTCTTACGTTCTTATTCGGCCTTTCTTCCGATTCTCAGACTCAAATGCTGAACGTAGCCAGCCAAGAATGAGGTTTTATAATAGAAGAGGGTCTACTCACAGCACTTTGCTTGGGGGAGGAGAGGGGGTTGTTTGCCCTCCAATCATGAGGCAACCCTAGCCAATTTGCCTCTTATAGGCCCCGGCCACACGTGCCAGAAAACGCGGGGGGGGAGGCGTGGCTTAGGCTTGACAAGTCCCCCCTGGGGGTGGGGAAATCCCCGCCCCAGAGGCCCGTTCCCCACCGCCAGCAGATTGGGCCCCGGGGGGAACCCTACCCCCAAAGCATAGGACGTGCCCAGCGTCAGCACGTCACCCGGAAGTGATGCAGCCACGCCGGGCGCGCCAAGGGCGGGGCCACGGTCATCCAAGGGAAAACTCGATGTTTTTTCCTCGGATGACCGTGGCCCCACCCCTGGCGTGCCCGACATGGCTGTGTCACTTCCGGGTGATGTGCTTGCGGTGTGTGCGCGCTCCCGGAGCAAGCCAGGAGTCCCCCGCTGCAGCTTAAGGTAGGACTTGGCAACCCTAACATGGCTATTTGCGCCGTTGCATTCTGATCCGCCATTATGTGATCAGACATGACAGTGGCGCACTGGGGTTTTGCCCTTCGGTGCGTGCTGCAAAGAGGACGGCCGGAGGGAATAGGTGCGCGCCGGCACGATCACACCGAACGAGTCCGTCTGCAGCCCGTGGCAAACCATTTGCTAGTAGATCTTTGCAGGTACTTTATAACTGCACATCTTCAGCAGCACACCACAGGTTGGCCATGGGTGCACTACGCTTGCCAGATGTTGCGGTGTGATTGCGCCCTGAAAATCCGCCCAGCATTCATGCCTTTCGCGCGGCAAATTCTCCGTGTGACCAGGGCCATAGTCTCTTAAACTCATGTGTCCCTTCCTCCTGACAGGCATTCCCCAGCTCTGTTAATATAGGGAGCGGCCTCACTTGTCTTCTGCTCACTGCCCAGGGTTGCCAACCTCCAGACCGGAGAATTTCAACTGATCTCTGGACTACAGAGTCCTTTGCCCTGGAGACGGTGGATGCTTTGGGGGGGGAGACTCTATGGCAGCGCCTCCCCGCCGAGCTCACTCCCTTCCCCAAACTTCAGTCTCTCCAGGCTCCATCCCAAATGTTCAGGCATTTCCTAACTGGGAGTTGGTAAACCTACCTCTGCCTTCCAGGGGACCTGTGTATCGCAACGGGTGCTAGAGGCAGATCTGAATTTCTGCCAGCTTCAATAGTCTCGCGAGGCAGCGGCCATTTTGTTTCTGGTTTCTTTATCCCCGTTGCCTCCGGGGGCGTTTCGAGGGCAGCGATGCCCGAATGAAGTATTTGAGAAACAAAAAGGAGGGTGGGGTGGAAGAAAGCAGGGGGAAGGCTACGGTTGCCAACTCTAGGCTGGAAAATCCCTGTACATTTGGGGGGTAGCGCTGCCAGGTCCCCCCGCCTGGGCCACCGACGGGGGATGGGGTGGGTAAGGCTGCCATCTGCAGGATGAGAAACTCCTGGAGATGTGGGGATGG